AGAATGATAAAAATCAATGTAAACGACTATTCTCGTTGCACTTAGAATGACCGCGATTTTTTTTAGTAAGGGTGAAATCTTTTTTTTTTCTAACAAAACACAAGAAAAACTTTTGACTTCGTTTAGAAAAGGCGAAGCTTCATTATGACTTGAACAGAGCGCCATACCCCTTTCCTAGCCCTTCCCAGAATCGTGCCGATCCTGTTTATATTGATTACTAATGATATGTTTTTACCTTTGCAAGGATTTGTTCCTAGACGAAATTTATTATTAAGTGGAATTTCAACTAGAAAAAATTTCAAATATACATTTTAAACAAAATAATATAATTAAAAAAATTTACATCTTCCATCATCAGTCTTGCATGTAAATTCATCATTTGGTTTTCCATTTGCACTGGAACCAGTGTCTAGATATATTAAAAAAAAATGAATTATGTATTTCCAAATATGTTTCTACATACATATTCCATTTGTATTCAATACTATGGGTGATGGTAGTGCAATCACCAAGAATATATTAACATAAAATAAGAAAATTATTGAAAATTGGTACATATTTGCTAGTAGAGAAGAATAAATGTATATCGTGTTTGTCAGAAAAGATAAATAATATACTAGATTACAAGAATATTCTATTTAACAGATCGTCGTAAAAGAGAAAAGAATGACACAAAAGGAACTGCTGATTAGTGACGTGTACTTCATGTGAAAGGTCGAGGTCAATATGTGTAAATGTACAAATAATTGAAGCCCAACGACAAAATACTAATTTCCATCAAGAACGAAAATGCCTTGATAATCATCCTAGATAAATGAGAAAATGCCAATTATCTAACTGTCAGTTATGCATTACAAAACAAGAAAACACTTGGTGTTACTATCCAGGGTAAAAAATTACAGTAATTAACAATCTTTCTTTTTACGCACATATTAATAGCGTTAATATGAAAAAAAAAAAGGATAATGTGTAGGCCGTAAGGAATGGCCATGTTTTGTATTTCATTTTTTCATCATCTAATACGTTTCATTGCAAAACATTATATACCACAAGATGTAGCGTGAAAAGTTCTACAATCAACAATACAAAACTTATTATATATATGCATTTCTGGTTTTCAAAATAGACAATATACTGTGTCGGCGAAATTCAATACTACAAAAGTTTTTTTTTTCGGTACTCGACGAGTTGCTTTTCATATTTCATCAAATAATGAACGATAGTTTTTAACTTCATTCCATTGACCAAATTTCGTAATTGTTAACCGATTTAAACTGATATAATGTCATCATCAATCATCCATATAAGATTTCATTTCTTTTTATTAACTGACACAATTATACAAATACAATTGATCACTGTGAAGCTCATATGTTCCTGAAACAAATAACATCAGAGTGAGTAAAAAAAAATATCATCGAAACACATTATCAATTAATTTAAGATAGGGTATCGATTATGACCTTGAATATGACTCATCGACCAAAGAAAAAAAGAACAAGAATTCTCTTGTGTACAAAAAAAACGTAAATTCTTCATAGCATCGAAATTTGGTCATATAGAATTTTATCTATTTCGAAAACTGAACATAAATAAATATAAAACAAGCCTTGTATTGTAGACTATAGAGCCTTTTACAGTATGTTTTGTGATATATTTTGTTTTTCTAATAAAACTTGTTAGATGATGAAAAAATAAAATACAAAATATGGTCATTCTATATGACACAAACTACTAATTTATTGTTTTAAAAAAAAGAAAAACATCAATTGTCAGCTATTTGAATAACTGCTTTTCCAAAATTTTTTCCTTGAAAAATTCCAACTAATGCTTCCGGAGCTTTTTCTAAACCTTTTGTTACATCTTCTTTTATTTTTAGTTCTCCATTTGCAATCCATTTTGGAACTTTTGAATAAAATTCTTGTTGAAAACTTGGATCTTTTGCTTTATCTAAGATAATAAAACCTTGAAGCTTTAATCGTTTAGCAACAATTTGCATAAGATTTCGTACGCCATGAGAATCAGGTTCATTATATTGTGAAATCATCCCACATTCAACAAATCGTGCATAACTAGCAGCAGCATCAAGTGCTGCTTCAAGTTGATCACCACCAACATTATCAAAATAAATATTCAATGGATCAAATTTAGCAAGTTCAGCTTTTACATTAGCCGTTTTATAATTAAATGCATGATCAAAATGAAGTTCAGTTTGAAGCCATTTTACTTTATCATCTGAACCAGCTGATCCAATGACTTTCAAACCTTCACGTTTAGCTATAAAACCAAAGAAAATATTATTTTTCAATAGAAAATTGATTTATCTACCGAGTTGTCCAACAATTTGACCAACAGCTCCAGATGCACCCGTTATGAAAATTGTTTCACCTTTTTTCGGTTCTCCAATATGATAAAATCCATGATAAGCTGTTTGTCCAGGCATTCCAGCAGCTCCTACCCATGTTGTTAAAGGCAAACCAAGGTGAAGTTCTTCATCACTTAAAATTCGAAGTAAATCTGCTTGAGGTTTTGCATGGACGGTATATTCTTCATAACCTCCAAATCCATAAACATATTGACCAATATTAAACTTTGAATTATCAGTTTTAACAACTTTTCCGACAAAAAAATTTGCTAATGGTTGATTAAGTTCAAATGGAGGTGAATAACTTTTCTTTTCAGCTGATCTCATTCGACCGCGCATATATGGATCAATAGATACGACAAGATTTTTTGTGACAATACCACCTTGTGTATCGACAGTATCAAGATCAATTGTGCGATCTTTAACATATTTAATATGTTTACCAGCTTCCGGATAACCCGAAGGAATTTCTGCAAACACAACAGCAGAATTTTGAATAGGAGCCATTGTTTTATTCAACAGATATTTTACTTAATCGACGTATATGTGACTGTGAGAGGGCAAAAAAGTACTCGCTTTATATAGAATAAATGATATGCATCGTCATTGTGATTACGCAAAATAGAACGATAAAAAAACGTGTTTTTTTTGTATTCTACAGTGTGTTATAGATAGAAAGCATGATAAATAAAAGACAGAATAGAAAAAAGACCTATTTGATTTATGTTGTCAGGTTAAAGAGACGACGGCAGTTTTACCTAACGAAAAAAATAAACTCGTACTTTATCGTACTTTTCTTTACTTAACCATTCTGAGGTTCGATAAGACGAAGTATGAAATTCTCCGTCAAGGGAGCAATATTCAAAGTGTCTTTACATTTTTGAAAGAAGGAAAAAAGAAATAGAAGGAAAAAAGTACTTATTACATATACTTTTTTTTTTATATTTGAAATATCAATTCTTGATAGAACCAAGATCTTCTATCTTATAAATACAAGGAAAAAATTAATGACAATCTCATTGCTAATAATCTCTAGTTATGATAAACCATTTCAATTGTTTTGAAAGAAAAAAAAAACATTAAGAAAAAAACAAAGTAACAAGTAGACATTTCTATTCTGATTTTCTTTTAAAGCAAATGTGCAAACTTGTACGACTGCTATTAACACCGTCCAATCGTTTTCTTGTATCAAACTTAGATTTTCCTATTAAATTTAGCACATGAAAGACCTTTTTATTTGATACAAATTGTCATCTAAAGGGTGTCCCATAATAACTGAGTATAAATTGTCAGCGACATTTGTCATACTTTTTGTTGACATAGAAGATTAACATTTTTATTAGATTTTTATCTAACCAAGCCCTTTATTTTGCAAAGTTTCAGCACTCTAGCTGAAAGTAATACTTTAAGGCATGCACAAAATTAACATATATGAATTGTCGTACTAGATATTTGTAATATTTTTATAACGTAGTCAATCGCAACTGAGTGGTTAAGGATTGTTTTAACGATATAGAAATGCATTTGTATCTAAAAACTTTAGATTTTATGGTATATTTCACGCTAAATGTCTAACAATTACAAAAACAGAAAAGATCGTAAATGATTTCTAGTGAATTTAAATTGTCTGAAAACAGCATGGAGGATTGATTGCATAATTCGTAGCAGATTTATTTCATGAATGTATAGAGTTAGTTGATAGCGATGTTAAATTTGTTAATGTATGAAGTGAATATGTGTGCGGTACACTGAGCGAAAAAGTGCGTGGAAAAGTGTTTGATACATCGCTACAATTAGAAAAAAGAAAATGGACAAGAATAAAAGAAATTTTCGAAACAAAAATGATAGACGAAATGCGTCATCAATTATACGTGGTCATAGAAAATAATAGAAAGTATGTTTATACGTATTGAATTTTATTATGATTTATTATTTTCTTTTTGAAAATCGTTTTCTTTGAATTATCTTTCCAGCAAATCTCTATAATTGTCACTGATCAACACATAAACATGCCACAAATATCAACTACCAAAATTGATGTATTGTAATCTTATTCAAGCATTTCATCACTAGTTTTAATTATAGAGCTGAAACTTTGGAAACTTAATGATCTTGATTAGATATATATGTGAGAAAAAATTTGCAGATGAAAATGTAATGACTCGGGTACAAAAAAGTGCTACCATAAATAATATCAAATGGTGTAAATTGGCATCATGACGCCACCATTTTAGATAAGCCTGTGAAAGAGTGAAAGTAGTAGGAGAAAAAATGGCTCATAAAAGAGGATCATATATTACAGCGTAATACGGTAAAGCTTGAGGCGGTAATAAGTCATTTTCTACGGTGGAAACGTTCGTTCTAAAGATGCTAATATGTGTGGAGTTGAATGAAATAATAGATTTTCATTGCTTAATCAAAGCATCAAATAACAATATCATTCTTATCTATAAACGAATAGGAAATATGAGCAGATTGATTTTGTTTCTATTGCAAATAAACAGTTAGAACAATAATAATATATAAAATGACAAGAAAAACAAAGAACTACACAAAGCCAGCTGAAGATCAATAAATAATAATCATTACTATTATATTGTGATCTCAAAAACAGTCAACTGAATTCTTTATTTTGTTATTCAAGCAGAAATACAAACAGAACAAATGATAAGAGAAGTCTTGACACTTCTTGAACACGTACTGAAGAACCATGAATACTTTCATCTTCTTCATCTTGAGGAGTTTCATGTTTTTCAGGTTGAAAGTTAGTTAAAACTTTACGTGAATACAACTTTTGAGGCTGCCGAAAATTCCATGGCACAGAATTACCAGCAAATACTTCTAATTGATATGCTGAAATTGGTACAGTCGATGCTAATATTATCCAAGTAATACCTTCTGTACATGGTGGAGTAGTTAATGAACCATGGTAACGATAAAAACGATGTGATGAGAGTGTAGGAAACAGAGGAGTTATATCGATTTGCTTTTCAATAGATATGGATATATTTGTAGTTTGCTTTAGAATTGATAATAAGTCATGGATATATGGATTATCATCATGTTGTAATTCGAAAAGTATACCAAGAACAGCTAAAGCACCTGAAAAATGAGCTTGATGTACAAAATGTATTTCTAAAGGATATTTTATTCCATCAATTGTATGTTCAGAACCTTGATAAGCATTGTAACCCCAGTGAAAATGAAATTGAACTAAAGAAAAACTTTCTGGTAAATTAGCGCCACTTATTGAAAAGTTTGCTGATGCTGGTGGATATACAATTATGGTGTGTCCATTATGCGTAAAATTCCATACATATGAAGATGCATTTATCGTAAAACCATTTAAAGAAAGTGGATTAAGATTTGGATCATATTTAACACGCGATGTTCGAATGTTTATAGGAGATTGAGCTCTACCTTTACATGTATTGAATGTATGTTGCCATGTATCAGGTCCTTCTCGTTGATAATTCCAATGTAATGATGATGAATTCGTAGGCTGGAGAATAGTATAATTCAAAAATGAAAATAGAAGTAAGAATTGTAGAGTGAATGGCGAGAACATTGCTTTCTACGGTTATTGAAAATGTGTTATGGTAGTAACATACGAGATAACAATTATCAATAAAATCAATCAGAGAACACATTTCACAATTTAAATACATGTGTTTCTTGTCCAAAACATGCCTCAATAACGTCATTGATTATCATTTGAACTCTTCGATAAAATTGTATTTTGCTAAATATGATTTCCCTTGATTATTTTAAAAGAAAAATATACACATGAGCTTGTTTATCAAAACAATCGCATAAAAAAAAAAACTTCATATCCTTATTCTTAAGTATCTTTCACTTTATTTGATTCATTTTATATCTCATAGGATTTGCACAAAGGAAGTTATGAACTTAATGAAACATCAATATGGTGATTCGTACATCAAAAAGGAAAATTATGTATTGAGTTTAGACCATTATCGATTATTTTCTACGTTGTGAACTTTTCCTATCACAAATAGAGTTTATTATTTGAATTGTAAAAAGTTGTCTTATCAAGATGCATAATGTATAACAAAAGACTCTTTCTTCTACACAGTAAAGTATTACTAAGTTTGTTAATTATCCAATGAGATAACTAAACGTATAGATGTTAAAGTAAGTGTAATGAGTTTTTATCAATTTCTTTCTTAGTTAGAAACGTGAGACGTAGAAACAGATCCATAAGAGAGCTAAAATGGTAACAACTAATAGTATGATTTGCCTTTACTTATGTACAATAAGCAGGGGTGTCGCGAGCAACCGAAAATTGAGGGGGTTGTACCTTATAAAATCCTACTTTCCAAAAATTTTGGGGGCGAGTAACTAGTGTTACCAGATCTTTCAGATTTTGAATTTCGGATTTTCGAGTTTCACATCTGAGAACACTCGATTTAACTTATAGAATCGTGCTTAAGGTAGTATAAGTTTTATTTTCTGCAATACAATGCAAGACAATTTTTCGAATATTGGGCCCCCCCTCAGTTCGCAACATCCCTGTGAATGAGAACTTCAACATTTAAAATTAAGAAGAGTAGATAAGTATAAATGCATAAGATACTATTATAATTTAGAGATTCATAAATAGTTGAGTGTTGCACGATAAATTAATTCATGATATACAACTAAGATTCAAATATTGGGGAGGAGTGACCACCCCTTGCGCCCCGGTCGCGACAGCCTCGGACAATAAGATAAAATTACTAGATAATTGGTCTATAATCGGATGAAATACAGTGAGAAAAACTGCGCATTAAGCATAACCTTAAATAAAATACGATACAAAAGTGGTAGCAAAAAATATTGATTCTTATTTCTTTTCCGAAATAGGATGCTGAAAGTAAATTTTTACAATTAATGTAAAGCTACTCTAGCAAAATGTATTAAAGACTTTGTAAGAATCCATTTCTACCCTCAGACTTAACCATGATTTAGATTTAAGACGACAATTTCTCTGCGAAAACATTTGCTGCTTGTAGAAGCTTAATATAACAAAGTCGAAATAGAATATTGTCTACAATCGTTTGGAAATTGAAGGGTATCTTTTATATTAAAATGCGATAAATATCTAATGTTTGCTCAATTCTAGTTAAACAAATATGTTTATTTTCTTCATTGAAATTTATCAGTGAAGTATTTAACAGTAAGCATATTAGTTAAATAAATATATTTCTTTTTTTTTATTAAGATTTACTTAAATCGAATATTCAGTAGTAAGTATTTTATTTAAATAAACCTATTCTGTTTTCTTTGTGTGTACGAGAGGTGAAAAGAGAAGAAAAAAAAATTGTATTCATCTTCACTGAAGAGAAAATTATGGGAATACGATGACAAATGACTGCCGTAATGTTTGTCTGAAGCAGCACAGAAATTGAGTCGTATATGAGAAAAAAAACGACCAAAATAAAACACTATATCGCGAGAATACGACCCTAATACCACTCATCGTTACACCCTTGAAGTAGTCTTAAACGCCAAGATCGAGAACTGCGTTTTTCATCATTTGAAAAAGAACATCAGGATGCATGTTTTATACGTTTTCCTAGTATATGGTATGCTATTTGTTTCACCCTTTCATGGTGGCGTGACTCACCGATGGATGACTCTATAAGGCATCCCAAAAGTTCATTTACCACAGAAAAAATTGAATATCTCTGCCATGCTTTGACTAAAGCAGTTGATTCTTTTATCACTGATAGAGGAATGTTTATAGTTCATATTTATAAGAGAAGCGTTGATGAAAATTGTTTTGAATTATTACAGTCGTCACAAGTAAATAAATGGCATCTTTCACAAATTTTGAAAAAGCAGTAATTATGTCGTTGTGAAAAGGTTCATCAGTTTTCTAAGTGTGAAAAAAATGGTTTCTTATAAAAAAAAGAAAAACAGTAAAAATATAATTTAAAGAAATCACCAGAAGAATCAGTCAAAACGTCGATTAGGATACCTATTACTTCTTAATGATCGATTCTAAATCTCTGAACCTTGTACAGTTTTACATACCTTCCATCAAAGGCTTCAATATGCGCGTGACAATTGAGAACTCATTGTAAACACCTTACGAGTAGGTTTGTTTTCAAAAAGGTTGATTGAAAGTCCTTTAAAAAAGTCACATAAGAAAAAAAACCTATAGAATACATGATTGGATGCATTATGATCTCCACTTTTGAACGATGAAATCCGCAATTCTCTACTGTGTTTGTATTAAAACTTGTCCAACAAAATATCCACTGAACAGACACTAGTGCTGCCAAACATATAGCATAGTAAAACAAGTGTTAGCGAGAGTTTATTATTATGATATTAGTTGAAGTATAATCAAATAGCATAGAAAAGTAGATGATTCTTTTCTTTATCAGACTGTAAAGAAAGAAAGTTTCTTAAATCTTTTTATAAAGAATTAAAGTACCTCCATCAATGTTTTTTGGTATGATCTAGGTAATATATTTGTGTAGTTGTTTTGAATCGAATTCTATGCAAGATATTTATAGGAAAATTTTGATGATTGGGAATATTTCTTCTTAGTTTTCACACATATAATTTTGATAAAACATGTTTTTACCAGATTTTTATTCGTATAAAATAAATTCGATGATTAAATATGAAGAAACGAAAGAAAAGTTAGCTTGAATAAAATAAAAAGTCATATTTTTATAAGTTCTTTCAAAACTTAAAACCTCCACAGAGACACATGATGTTATGCGGATCCGATGCTTTGCGGGTGCGTCGAAGCCTAGGCAGATTATTCCCGTACATTTGTTCAAGAGGTGTATCTGCAAGAGCATAATTTGGATAGAGAATCTCTTTTGATTCATCAACATCTTGGTCATCATCAATTGCTGCTTGGAGTAGGGCGTTGGGCATTGACTTAATTCCATCAATAAACACATCATCATCTGATGATAATGTCCAACCGAGTTGAATATAGAAAGGAAGAAGTGGTGTGGATGAAGCAACATGTGGATAAGCACCACCTTGTGACATATCGAAATAAGTCGAAACAAATGGTTCGACACTAACTGCAAAGTATGTCCCAGGTTTCGAACCCAATGCTGAGTTATAATATAAGACTTGGTTGTTTGTTGCTAGTAATAAACTGCTGCTTAATCGTGTGACGGAGATGATGCTGAAGCGACTTCTATTAAAACAAAAAATTGTTATCTTTCATTGTTAAATGCAGGTTCATCGAATAAACACTTGTTAGCTATTGTATGTATATTGCCCTTTGCAATCATTGTATTGTCAAATTTATTGATTTCCTTATAACGTCACAAACTGATCTCCTCAAACTTGTGTAATGCTAGGAAAGAAAAAATGTATTTAAATTTGACTCTTTTGAGAAGCGAGGAGACAACTCTCGACTATAATCTTGTATGTTTTTTGGAAAAAGTCTGGTATTGGGATCTGTGCTACAAATCATTTCTATTCAGACTAATGCCAGGTTTTCTAAAAGTACTAACGACTAGTTTTGAATAACTTTTCAACGGTACAAGCTATAGAGGTCGGATTTCACCATTAGACAGAGCAAGGTAGGAGACACCGATCTGTATAAAATTCATTAGGTTCAAAGATCTTTCGTATAGTTGTTTGCAGCCAGATATCTAATTTGTCATCTATTTTTATGAATTTTCGTGGTCAGTTAACATCAAATTAAACCAAAATGTAGCCCTAATCGCCCTATATGTGTGCTAAAATTTTCAAACCTTTGCGTTTTGCTCTTGAGTTTTTTTCCTTACGCTTTGATGTTAAAATATGAAAGTTGTAGCACAAATACAGGACGATTTGGGCTACATATTGGTCTAATTTGATATTATCTTACCACGAAAACTCATGAGAATAGATGACAAATTAGACATCTGACTGCAAACAGCTATAAAAAATGTTTTCGAGTCTAATGAATTTTATACAAGATCGATGTCTCCCACTTTGCTCTTTCTAACGGTGAAACCTGACCTCTATAGCTTTTATCGTTGAAAAATTATTCAAAAAATGGTCGCTAGTACTTTTTAACCCTAACACGACCACCTGGGGTCCGTACGGATCCCAATGAATTTCATTTTTGTGTTGTATACGTGCAACATCAGATCAAATTGCTCTCATCTAGATATGCTCTAATGAAGACTAGTAGAGTATGGCGTTGACATCAGCTGTTCATCATCATTCATTGTTTATTAGATATTTTATTACAAAGTATAAATAAACGCTTGTCGACTACCTGGGGTCCTCCCGGACCCCATATCATTTTACTAATTTACACTCATTTTTCGACCGTAATTTTTTAAAATTTACCGTTCTGTATTTTTGTTTTGATTTATTTGAGAATATTCCAGAATGTTCTTATAAGTTTTATAGAGTGTAGACGATTGTAGAATATTCTAATTTTTGCGTTAGATCACTTTCGAAAGCGATTCTGTCACTTTCTGGAATGTTTCGCCTATCATATAAATAGTCGAGTAGCACCATCAAGAATATATTGTTACGTTCAGTGTATATTCTGTTCTCACCCTATGTTTTTATTGTGAAACTTTTCAACATTATATTTAAAGGGTGTGGGTGTGGGTGGATGGGTGTGGGTGTGGGTGTGGGTGGATGGGTGTGAGTGTGGGTGTGGGTGGGTGGGTGTGGGTGTGGGTGTGGGTGTGAGTATGATTCTTGTATTTATCTACATCCACAGCCACCCCCCACACCCACATCCACACCCACACACCCACACCCACACCACCCATACCCCACACCCACCCACATCCACACCCACATCCACCCACACCCCACACCCATATTATTCTTAAGAGAATTAATCATTTCCAATTTACTTCTAGTCAGTAATTCGTCTCGTATGGGGAGCAATTTGTCTTCTACGAGTGACGACTCATCTTGTATGGATGATGATTCATCCACAACTCTATCAACGGCTAAATTGACAACAAAGCAAACAGTAAGAATTTTTTTTCGTGTAGAAAATCAATAGACAGTCCAGTCAGAAAGTATCTATTCATACTTTCTTTTTCCTTTTGTTTTTATATCGTCAATCGCCACTATAAAAGTTGACTATAAATCATAAACTTTCATTTATTTAGATAATTGAAGAGATGTAATCGAAAATCGAACAAATGGAATCAAAAATCGAACGAATGGAATCAAAAATTCAACAAATAGTGAAAAAATTACTTCAATCTGAAGAATGTTTACCAATGTTGGAAAAGATGATCGTTGATGAAGTTTTAAATATTGACATATTAGTCACTACAATGTTCGAAGTAGTGGATACACTGAACGAGCAAACATTAACACGTTTATCAACATATATTGCTCAATATATCACGACACACAAATCATTTTCTTCACTTGAAGAACAATTAGTGAATATGAATTTACATCGACAACAATTAATGAAAAGAATTTTACATAATATTCGTAAGAATCATGTTTTCATTTATTTAATAATAAAATAACGTTTATTTAGATGAGATAATCAAAAGAAATGGCTATCAAACGTTTGATGCTAGCTTCATATTTAACTATGCGGATTTATTGGAGCATATGTTGTAATAAATGGCAGTGAACATATGTAAAATATAAATTTTTTTTTGTGTAAAATGAATTATGTTCTTATTAATATATTGATAAAAGAATATCTAAATACATCTTTATGGTTTTCATTCATGTGTATATAGCAATTGTGAAAGAAATTAGGAAACAATGAAAATATTCTATTTTAGCAAATAAACATATCGATAGAAACATCGACAAAAAGTTCTTAGTGATGTTATCGATGAAATATTTTCACAATGAATACAAATAATGTTTAATAAGAGAAAAGAAAGGTGTAGAAACATGTTGATGACATAGTATTCATTTTGTTACAAAATCTTATTTTCATAAATTAGATGAAATATTCCAGAACAAAACAATACATTCCATAGACAGTGTTGGAATTTCTCTCAGAAACATCTTACTTAATATCCATGTCTATATCTACTAACATAGACAAAATATGTCGTTTTTTGCCAAAGGTTTTCTCATTTCTCACTATGTTCTAGAGGAACTTGTCAAGAATGAATAGATTGAATATTGTGACGGTTCCAGATTCGAATCGATTTTTTTCACAAACTATGAGACAGTACTCCATCATCGAAGATTTTTTTAGTTACATCACTCATCCACTTTTACTTCTAAACGTTAGACATACTTTAAATCAATAAATTGCATTGCCTGATGAAAATACCTTCATCTAATTGGTTGATTTACATCTTTGTATAAATGACTTTTTCTTTATTATAATAATTGATCATCAATGACTGCTTCTCGTTTAGACAATGTTCATCAAACATAACCATTCATATATATATGTCTACATCAGCTTTAATCTAGACAGGCAACGTATCAACAATGAACTGTTTATCAAAAAAGAGTATGCATAATCTACTTAATAATATGATTAATAAAATGATTTTTGTGCATGAAAGATGTTGTTGAACTAGTCGATTTAGCAGATGAGTTAATATTATATATTATGAATAAACCCAGGTCGAATTCACCCTGTCGAATCCGATAGAAATTCGCCGGAATTTGTCGGAATCCTAACCACAGGATTCCGACAAGTGGTTCTGGATGTCGGAAAGTGTCGGAGTTTCAGGGATTTCGCAGGATCCTGATTATTCCGACATCCGGAACCTCCTGTCGGAATCCTGTGGCTAGGACGCCGACAACTTCCGACGAGTTCCCGTCGGATCCGTTAAAATCCGGTAATTTTTCCGATATAATCCGACGTAATCCGACAGTCGGATCGAATCACCTGGGAATTTAATCCTCGTGTGCTATTACTTTGTTCTATGATTGATATTGATAATAATCATTTAGAAGCACTTGGATTTGATAGATATCATTCAATCGATTTAACTTTTGATTATCATCAAGCATCACATCAATTACTTCTTCGACGCTTTTATTCAGATGTTATGACTCGTATCAGCCATTATATTCAATCATTAACAATTAATCTTGATCAAATATGAAAAATTAAAAGTTTTGCTGAGAATAATTGCAATGGAACTCTTCCAAATGTGAGACACTTGAAAATAACGCTGGGTGCCAAACAAGATAAAACAGACATACCTTATACAATAGATAAATAATCATTGATCCGATATTTCTAAACCGTATTTATATATCGCATTGTTTTCTTTTCTCATCAGAAAAGAAACAAAGTTCTATCATTTGAGAATTGAAGTATCCCTTGTTAATGTCTTATTAGACAAGAGAACCTAATTAACTTTTCTTGTTTAGAGAAAGATCACACGTTGCAAATAATCAGTGAAATACTTCCGAGATCGTTTCACTTTTTTAACTTATAAAAGCTTTTCTTAGAATGAGCATAGATCGAACAAAATATGTCAAAGTCTTGTTGATTTATCGAATGATGACCATCGAAAAAGAACTAGTTTAATCAAATATGATATGATAATAGTTGTGCATATGTATTTCAGTAAACGATGAGATGATTGGGTGTGGGTGTGCGTGTGCGTGTCCCCGTACATCTTCTCCTGAGAGACGTCTATACCCACACCCACACCGACATCCACACCCACCCACACCCTCAAAACGATATTTTCCATTTAAGAGCAGACAAGAACTCTATAAATGTAGCGCTAAGTCAGAATGGACAAAACTTGAAAGTAATTTAATTTTCAGTACTTTTCTTATCAGAATTACAGTTAAATTTACAGCTAGACGCTTTATCGATACACTTCAAATTTAAAGTTATCAGATGATTTCATATGCACTAATAAACTTTGTTGTCACTTGTTTATGTTATTAGTGAAAGAAAAAATACATATTGCTTAGACATTCAAAATTTTGTGTGACTAAGTCGTTATAAATCAGCTTGTTCACTACAATTTTCTTTTCAAGTATCTTATTTAAAGCATCGAAATATTGTGATTCAAGTTGTACTTTTTTTTCGATTAATTATTCATTTTATCAAAACTATTTAAATGTGAGTAAATATCAGTCGGCTTAAATATTATTATAAATATGATTGTCGTCATTTTCTTCCTATAAAAGACAAGTTCTTCTTTGTTATTTCCAATATCACTAAAGAATCCAGTTAAGAAGTTCCGCTTATTCAAAAGACCACATGTTCTATTTTCGGAATAGTCAAGAATGTGAATTATTCTTCTTTCAGGGCAAGCCCTTTAAATCAATAAATTCACCAGAAGATTTTAAACACTAGAACAAAACAAAACACAATGAAGTTTGATTTTATTCAGATAAAAAAATTTATTTATTTCGAAATGACGAATAATTAGAGTTCGACAAATTGATGGAATCTGTCATATTAATATCAGGAAGAAAAATATACAGCGAGATCATGATTAGTCATATGGTATATCAGGTACTATAAGTACTTTGGAAAAGCACAATACATAACTCGTCAGTAATTAGCTCACTTTAATAGTTACTCTGGATTCAACGGTCACATATAATTTCATGAATATTGATGCTAATTGTAGCACGGTGAGTATGATTAAGATATTGTAAACGTAAAAATTTTCTAAACCAAGTAACCCATACTGTTGCCACTTATCCATTCCTAAAATACAATACACTCCATCAGAATTTTTTTCTGTTTTTATTTAATCTTCGAATCATCAACAATAGTGAGTAAGAGGTTTCATAGAATTCTTAAAATGTCAAAAGAAGATACTCATTAAAAGAAAAATTTTGTGTTATTTCTGAGCAAGAGATACATATGAATTAGCTTTTTAATTTCATATACGGCTAGAAGGTGACGACGAGCACCAGTGCCACTGTAAGTCGGTGCGGTCGTCTTCGACAGAGTGCTGAGCTGATCTAAATATAAACGTACAGAATAACGATACGGTAAAGACGATGAACACATAATAAAACTATGTTGATTTTAGATTCATTTCGAATCTTCCAGTCGAAGATTTATTTTAAGCAAGTAGCCTAATTTTTATAAAACATGGCTAATGAGATAATATTTCCAAGTGCGCAAACGCTTTTTCATCGAGTATACGTTCATATAATAAAGCTCAATGATCTATTAAAAGTGATGATGCATTTGACATTAAGGGTATAGGTGCATGTGGCTGTTGATGATGATAGGTTCCATAAACAGAAACCAAGATCCACACTCACACTCCAACATTCTATTGAATCAAGATTATTATGAGTTACACATGTAATTATGGATGAGATGTTACTTGCATCATTTGTTTATTGAATTAATTCATGTGACTTATTCGTTAGAGATGATCTATTATTTTGATATCTATCAAATAATGAAAAATCGAATCCATCATTCGATTAATATTGTAAATATTATTGAAACGACCTGAACAATGAATGTCACAATCTTTCAAACATTAACAGAAACATATTAAAGTGCATTCACAAATAATTACTAGGAAATTTTCAACAATATGAATCGTTTCTGGTATAATATAAGCAGCAAATAATAGTATCATAATAAGTATTAAAACAATATAGATGACAATCTGTTGAAGGGATATTATCGAAAAAATATATAAGATAATATCCTTACTAATAAATGAA